ACAACCCACGCACTCAGGGACCGTGGCGTGGCACGGCGCCAAGGGGCCAAGCTGCTGCGATGCCGGGCTACTGGGAGCAGCCGGCCGAGAACGGCGATCGAGGGCAAGAACAGCCTCACGCACAGACACTGAAGTCTTGGGCGAAACACAGTGTGAACGACCACGTGGGAGTAGCAGAGCCCCAGGCGAGGAAACGTGGGCCGAAGCCACGGCTCCCACGGGAGCGCCAGGAGCCCCCGAAGCCCCAGAAGACAGGCAGCCCGCCTGCGTGGCCCCGCAGAGGTGGCAGGAGGCCCAGGGTGGAGGCCTGCTCTACCCAGGACACGGGGCCCAACCCCGTCCTCACGAGCCCCTCCCACGCAGGCCACGGGCCACCACCTCGTAGACCCCCGGGCTCAGAGGCACCTAGTCCACGACCGGCCCCTCCAGTGAAGCATGGTGACGCCCTCGCCAGCGCCCGCCACAGACCAGAGCCACGAGCCCACGTGGCCAACAGGTGCCCTCCCTGCACGCTGCACTTGGAAAACGAGACCAAGGAACAGTGCCTGCTGGGGGCGCCCCACTGAGCCCGTGCGCACCATCCTCCCGGGGGCCCGGTCACAGCCACAGGCTCCCCAACCCACAGGCCCTGGGACGCCTGCCACTCGCGCGATGCGTTTCTCAGACAGCTGCCTAGCAAAACCCCAGGAGACCAAGATCCTTCTTTTCGTTTTGCCGGACGCTCTCTGACAAGCCCCAGCAGAGCGGGCCTCCGTCACAGACGCTGGCAGGGAGGAAGGCGGAAGGCGGCGGGGCCAGAGCCCCGGCCCCAGGCCTCGAACGCAGGTCTCCAGCGCGGGCGAGAGTTGCGGCCACTCACCGTACTGGCTGTAGGGGAAGTCTGGCTGGGCCGTCGGGGGCTTGCTCATGTCGGGGGCGGCCTGAGACGGAGGCGGTGGGAAGGCCAGAGGTGCTGCCCCCGGAGTAGCAGGTGGAGGAGGGACCCCAGGCGGGGCAAACTGATCCGGCGGCGGAGGCGGCGGCCCGTAGCCAAAGCCTGCGCGCAAACAGGAGAGGAAGACACACACACAGCGCACGACTGCGGACCAGCCTACGGGAGCTGCCCGCGCCATTTCCTGCCGAGACGCACCAAGTGGCCAGGTCCCGGGGATGTGCCCCAGCTGGGAGAAGGCAGCATGCGGACTAGCGATGGTCTGGAAGGCTGGGGTGCCCGGATGGGCCTGGGGCAGCCTGTCACCGCACCTCTGACAGCGAGTGTCAGACAGGAACTCCACAGGGAGTAACTGCACTGAAATACTCTCAAAAAAACCAAAACCAGTTGCCTAACAAAGCACAATCTGTGCTCTGAGAAGACAAAAAGAATCACAGTGAGCCTCTCACGAGGGCGGGGGTCACGCCTGTCCACACTCTGTCCTGGGGGGCTCCAGAAAACCGGTTTCTATCCACCTGTGTTCTTGTTAGAAATAAAAATCTGGGGCACCTAGGTGGCTCAGTCGGTTAAGCGTCCGACTTAGGCTCAGATTATGATCTCACGGTTCATGAGTTCGAGCCCCACATCGGGCTCTCTGCTGACAGCTCAGAGCCTAGAGCCTACCTCGGATTCTGTGTCTCCCCTTCTCTCTGCCCCTCCCCTGCTTGCTCGCTCTCTCTCTCTCTCTCTCTC